CGACCGCTCACACAACATGTGTGTGATGCTACCGCCGAAGGTTGTTGCCGAATTATCACACAGAAAGTGTGGCACTGTGTGATAATTTATGAAAGTAAACAAGTGTAGATATTGCTATTGGCTTCGTATTTCATTGCCACGAAAGTTAAAAAATTTACAATCTCAACCGCCCTAAACATAGAAGCTCCAGAGAACTTACCTGAGGCTAACGGTAGTCCCCGCCAAATGTATGTCATTTCCCCAAACTCAAGAAAATTTCGAATCACCAATCAGAACCGTTGTTAGAAAAAGCCCCCACTATAAGAACAAGTTAATGTCGACAGAAAATTTTGCGAGAAAGCTCAGATACAAACATATCAGCATACGAACAACATTAAAATAATCTTCTACGTGCCGTCCGATAAAATTCACAAACTTATACTTTAAAATATTCATAGTTGTATTAGTAAATATAATAAGTGTTACATGGAACTTTATCATAGTATTCATTATCCAACATTTTCAAATATTCACTCGCCGTGAAGTCTGCGTGTGAAGTGAGCATTTTCGAAAGTAGCTTTCAATATAAAAATTAACTATTTTGCTCACGAGTCAACACCATCTGTGGTCAATGACAAATTCTTCGTTATCGGCAGAACACTACTAATTTCTAAATATTAGTATACTAACTAATTTGTGTTACATTATTAATAATATTAAACGTTCAATTTTAAAGTCTTGTAAATATGTAAATAGCTAAGAATTTGTCAACTGTAATTAGTCTAATGTCTTTAAAGTAACTAATATAATTTTGTTTAACTGTTTTCATATTAAAATGTGAGGAATACATGCTATATTAAAGCAACAATTGTTTTATTAAGCATAGTAATTATTTAAGACTTAAAAAATGTATATACAAAAACCACGCGCACTGTGCACATTTCTGGCGCGTGCTTCCGTACGGTGACGACACTTCGGCGGACCGGACTGCCGAAGCGAAAGGGTTAAGTTACAGTCGTTGAACTTTGTATTGAATACAATAGTAAACAAAAAAAGAAAAAAAAAGCCAACAACACGCGGAGTTCCCAAGCGGTCACCCATCCAAGTACTATCCGCGCCCAACTCAGCTTGACTTCGGTGATCGGACGAGAACCGGTATATCCTGACTAGTATGGCCGTTGGCTGGTAACACATTGTGCTAAATTTGTTTTTCAGTGTTTACCCTGTGTACTAAAGTTATTCTTTTTTATTTCCTTTATAAGATAAAGCAAAAAGATAGGCATTGAATACAGAAAGAATTATGTCGGAGTATATTAAATCGGAAATTTTCATTACATTTTTAACAGAAATTATTAATCGGAAATAAGTATAATATTTTTAAAAAATTATATTTAAAACGATATAACCTTTTTGCAGTACAGGTGCTTCTTGGAATAAAATATATGATTGATTGCGTAATGATAGATTTTGGAAAATCACATATTGTGAACAATTTTACGAGGACTCTTTAATTTCTATAATAATAGTTAGCAGTATAGTAAAAATTATACCAGCTCGAAAGCTGCAGTAATACATCAGCGAGAAGCAGGAAGTGGATCAAAAAGATCACTTACACATAGCAAATAAGGAAATCTGTGAAACAGATTTAACAAAATACTTCCACATTTTTCCAACAACGATATCATCTGTTTCACTCCAATTGTACCATATATTGTAATTCTTACTTACAGATAATTACTTAAAATTAAAACTTACTTAGTTAAAATTAAAATATATTCGCTCTGTCGTTTAACACTAATCGTAAAAAGCGGCGTCAAATGACCCTTTTTAAAATTTATTGCAAAATTGTCCATTCATTGTTACTGTCCAGAGCACGAGAGAAAAGTAGCGGGACGGGAACGGGGCTAGAGGGACGAAAAGAGCATCGCAGTGGTCGGATTGTAACGTTGCCGCCTATTGTCACACGTATTTTCGGCAATAACACGCTATTTGTCGAGGCGCACACATACACTAATCGGTCGCGTGACGGGGAGAGTGGGTCAGATATATGTAGAACAAGAGAGACAGAACGAGCGATACGTTGAGCGGCATTCCATTGTCGTAGTGTCCAAAAGTTTTACGCATCGCGTAAGAGGAAAAAGGTAGAGTTTTTTAACGTATAGTAGCAATATCTGTTTCTATACCTATGTAAAACCACACCATTACGGATGAACGGTGGAAGCTACGCGTGAGTCGAAAAGTGGGGATTAGGTGGTCCTAGCGGCCTACCCTCTTTGCCCCGTTACCGTCCCGCTACTTTTCTCTCGTGCTCTGAACAGTACTTCCTTCAATCATTTGACTTTCTGTAAATACTAATATAATCTAACTATTCAATTTCTTGTCTTCCGTTTTCCTCATAGTTTATTCTTTACCGTCAAAAATTCCGTACATATCTTACAAACCAAGAAGTATCATTTGATTACATACGGAATTTACGTGTTTTTCTACAGTTTTAAAGTGGAACCTTAGTTGTAAGCTCCGATACACTTTTCAAGTTGAAGTTTCGCCACATAATGGTTTATCTGGAAATGCAGTTTTCTCATACTTTAGGTTACTATATAACCAAAACATTATACCATAACAACTAATTAATTATATTTAATATGTTCTCGACGTGGCTTAGTTTTCATAAGTAGAATTATTCTGTATCCGGCCTGGCCGAACCGAGCTGCGGATGTGCTACTTCACCCGGTCAGGTATACGCAACAAACACCCCATTTCTAGACCCCGAGTTTACTACCCCTAAGAGTCCAATCTCCAAATAGACATGGCACCGGTCCACATCCCGGTGGGGATTTCCATGCCACCCTTAGTACCTGTGATAGCCAGAATGAATAGAATGAACCTCAAGCAACGTTAGACAGGTCACCGTCGAGGGCGTGGCCCCGAAGGGCGCGTTTTCTCTACAGCACATCAATTTCTGCCGGTGACATCCATTGCTCAGAAACCTGAGATTGGGTAGCTCCGTAACGACAGTTTTATGGGTGAAAGTCGTACTGTCTGCATCACGGACTCGTCTCGGATACTAGAGTGACTGGGTCCATCACTCCGGCACCTCAGCGACGGCCGTGCATTCACCCGATGCACAATCCTACGTAAATAGGACTTCTCCTACGGCGTTTGATGGGGAACCGCCGAAGGCACTCATCGCAACACCTCTTCCACGCAAATCTGCACACCAAAGGCATCCGTTACCCAGACGTTCTGAGTTTGGGCAGCATCGAGGCGGCTTTTTAGGGTAAGCGGTGCATGTTCTTCAGGATCTCGTCTCAGATACTAGGACAAGCCCCGACACCTCAAACGATGGCCCCATCACGAAAACCCTTGGGGTCGAGTCGAGATGGCGCCCAATACTCTCCACTCAACTCTACCACACATACTTACCAAAGGCGGTTGCACTTTGCCCAGATTCCTGGGATCACGCAACACCATGCGCAATGATTCTATGGCCCATAGCAGTGTGGTCTGGCCGTGGACCCGAGTTTTTATAAGTAATACATTGCATTGAATATTTGAAAAAAATAACTGCAATGGACATGCTAACACTTAGAAAAGCAAAATTAGTATTACTTGTTATGTACCAGCCAACGACCATACTAGTCAGGATATACCGGTTCTCGTGAATTCGACACCAACCTTCGAGCAGGAAGGACGTGCACCCCTGCCATAAAGTTCAGCAGGCCAAAATTCGTTCTCTAGGACAGTGCTCGGATTTAGTTGCACTTTTCGGGCCGATTTCGGAGTAGACCCCTACCGTGCACCTACTCCCGCGCTAGACTGCCCACGTGACGCTGTGTGCCAGGAACGTCGTACGATAGATTTGTCGGGATACATCTGTGATTAAAAATTTTGCTTGCACTGTTAATAATTATTATTTTTACAGATTATTAAAGTTATTAATACTATGTTTACATTAATAAACATCTTCTATACACATATACATATAATAAGAATAATACATGTTATAATAATTACAATTTTGTCAATAGTTTTCCATATCACCCAAGAGGTACTACTGTTGATGCGGTTAAAGATACATTGAAGTCTATGGGAGAGAGTTAGGTTAGGTTGGGTTAGGTTAGGTTAGAGAGGTACCCATGGGGGCTGGCTGTCGTGGCAAGCGCGCGTGTTTGGGGGTCGCTCCGCGTTAAAATCCAGTTTTGGTGGGAAAAAGTGGTAAAAGTGTGGTAAATAATGTTGTGAAGTGAGGGGAAACCGCGGGGG